CCTTATCTAGATTTCCATAAATTTAAACACTTGAAGCAATATAGTTGCCTTTCTTTAAAGAAAGGGCATGTTCCACATTAAATAATTATACACTATTTTAAAAACTCAGTGGAAATCGATGCATTATTTATCTTCAAGTACAGTTAGCATTACTAATCTTGCAGTAACTGATATGATTTAAAAAGAAAAAGAATGAACTGCAGCAAAATCAGAAGCATGGCCAACTTCACTTGTCTCAAATAATAATCAAAAAATAATTTTTTCACAGCAAGCATTAGCTACAACTAATGCCAGTTAAAAGCTCAGTAAAAATTAATCATTAAACTAGTCTCTTTATATCCTATTACAAACTGCTTATGTATACCTGATTTTATTTTGTATAACTGACAAAAAGTTGACAGGAAAGGACAGGTTTAATAACAATCAAATTAAGATCAACTAGTATATGTGTCACACAGGAGGGCCGCTTCAAGTGATGATAAGTAATTGATGGGACAGTGCGAGACAGAGCACACGAATCTGCCATATATTGTAATAAGTTACCCTGTAATATTAGCAGACTGCCTGCAATAGCTCACAAATTCAATAGCTCTGCAAGAGACGGGCTACAGTAAATGCCCAACAGAAGAAAAACAGACACTGACTTTGCATATATAATAACAGATTGTTTGCCATTAAACTTAATTTCTAAATCATTTGTATGACTTAATGACTCTATGAAATTTTTAAGCTGGTGACACAGTGACCTGCAGCAGAGACATAACATGATGAGTGCAGTGCTACCTGCCTATCCCTTGTCCCACTGACAAGTGAGAGCTGAGCTACTGTAACATGGCCCAAACTTAAACTATCATGTCATCACTTAGGAGACCAGTGAAAAAGATATTGACATTTATAAGAGATTGATGAAAACTAGTTCTAAAGCATTAATTTCTCTTAATACCACTCAAAGAATTGTGTGCATTCAGGAGATATTTGATCTGAATTAAGAAACCGATGAGACAATTGATTAATTGGAATTTAAGCCATCAGCCACCAGATCCATCAACAGTTTCATTTACATTCTAAACAATCGGCTGACAGCCCAACAGAACCCCTGTATTAATACACGGTCAATACGACTCCGCGAAGAGACTCACTGAACTGCACTGACAACGTCCGGCAGCTACTGTCCCAGCTCGAACCCCCTGACTAGGTTCAGGGCTTTCACTCTGGCTTGAGCTTAAAGATTTTCCTGACAACAACAAAGTGCTGCCAGGTTTTCCGAAATGGAACTATAAAGTAATAATATTAAGAACGATAGTAGATACCCCCCAAATTCTAAATACGTGTACTTTAAAAATGAGGTGATTAAAAACTTAAAATAATTAAAGTCACACAAACAGAATCCCCAAAGCCAAGAAACCCTGTGTGGATAAAGTGAAGGTTCCTGTGGCCAGGATTCTCACCTGGCCCTGGTTGGCTCACTCACTGCACAAGTGTAGGCAGTATGTTGTTACTGACTCTACAGAAAGAGCCCTGCCCAGTGCTCTGGGTGACACGGAGGCACGGCTGCAAGGCAGCAGGAGAGCAGAGACGAGACTGGAGTGGTGGCAGCGCCAAAGACAGAGACAGAGACAGACTGAGACTGAGACGGCTGTGGGGCTGGGGAGGCCCAGAGACAAGAGACCGGCTTGCTGCGTGCAGACTCGCTCTGAGTGGACGGGATTCTAGCGCTTGACCTGCCACCACGGGAATAAAGTTGGGTAAAACCCTTTCACCCCAAGAATGTTCTTCTGTCATTTCTTTGGTCACACTGAATCCACAGTGAACTTGTCTGGGGCTGAAACCCATTGGCAGGACACCTTGACTGAAAGCAGTGTTATGACAAAAGTTTTGCACAGCTGTGGAAGCTTTTTGCCCCATTTTATAAAGAGAAGAAAAATAGCATGAAACAGCAATGGGACACTTTAATACCTGCATTGAGTAATTAGTAATTGTTTTGGCAATTTAAGTTTGATAGAAAAAATAATACAACCAAGAAAAATAATAGAACTGTAGGTTTAAACAGACTAGAGACAAGTTCAAACTCAGATCCATTAATAACCTTCCAGGAATATATACAATAAAAAATTTAGGATACATGTATGTTACGTATACTTTTCTAGGAACAAGTGGTAATTCCTAAGAGTCCCAGAGATGCATGACCTCTAAAATATTAAGTATTATTACAATACAGAGAATAATTGTCCCTACAACATTGAATGCAAAGCAAAATTAGAAAAAGAAAATGTTTTCAGAACATCATCAATTTGGCCACAGCATTCTGGATCTGGTCGCCCCAGTGAGAGCGTCTTGCCTGCCCGGTGCTCTCACATTCTGTGCCAACACCTCACTATGCCGCGGCAACAGCACAGCCAAAGAGCCACCAAGAGGGTGAGGAATCCCAGAACTGCTGTGGTCTACTGCCTCTAGCAAGGCCCTTACGGGCTGCAGCCCTCAGACTCCCCCCCGAGGAGCAGACATTTATAACTATCTTCCAACTTCCAAGTGGAGTTTCTTCGTCATTTACCCCCTAATGTAATCTATATGATCTCACCTTTTCACATTAATTACCTAGAACTGTTTCCATATTTAGGAAATATTTTAATTTTACATTAATTCCTAGCACAATCATCAAAAGGGCAAGTAACATAAAAGCATCTCCCAAATGCAAAGGTAACTTGTTATTCATTATACTGCACACATTTAGAAATAAGATACCATGAATAAGTAGGTAATGTCAGCAGGGATGGCAGAGTTAAAACCTCTGAAAATCCATTTCTCCATAAGTGTAATGAGAAAATCAGGAAAAATGGTCAAAAGCAACTTTTTCAGAACTCTGGAAAATAATCAAATACTTAACAACAATCATAGATGCTTTTATTCAAGAACCACAGCAAAATTAAGGATCAGCTGTGGGGTGTTTTGAATTGCCCCATTTCCAATGCTCCTCTCCTCTCACCCATCCCAAAGCCAGCAGTGCCACACACAGTACCGAAAACACAACAGTGTAGCAGCCACTGCATAGGCCGAACCAGGGCCTGGCTCCCCAAGCCCCATGCCCAGGGAACCGTACTCACCTGCGCAGGTAGGGCTTTTGGATTTCACCTGACCCACAGCTCTTTCACTGAGAACAGTGCTTTCCCTGGGATGTTTGTCAAAAACAGTGGCAACTGCTTAACACTGTAACTACCTCATGAAGGGATAAAGGTCGGGTAAACAACAAGCTGACCAAAGAAAACCTCAAAGAAAAGCTGTAAAATCAGATGACTAAAGGGGGCTTTGAAAAGCTCTGACACATTCCTGGGTATCTGGAAGGCCACCTGCTTGTGCAGGGCTCCACAGATGCCCAGGGCAGCCTGGAAGCCCTGATCACTACAGAAACAAGGTGGCCAAGGCAGAGCTGTCACTGTCACCTGCCTGCAGCAGGTGCACAGGGCACACTAGCCACTGTAAAGGATAAATCTTGCAACTTGGTACTTAAACACTGTTTCCATATCAGAGTCGATTTGGTAATGGAAGGGGAGAGGTCTCTGCCCACATAGCCATTCAGGAGCTGAGACTCAGAGAAGCTCTGCTATCTCCAAAGGCAGCTTCAAAGGCTGCCCCAGTCATGGACACCTAGCCAGCACGGGAAGAGATGCGTAGATGGCTGGAAGAGAGCTTAAGGCCAGGGCTGACGTGGCCCACATGAATCTCAGCCATCCTCCTTCTGCCAGACCTCAGGGCATGGCCCAGCTAAGCAGACAGGAGAGGGAGTCTGGCTGCACCTACAAGAGGAAAGGGAAGTGGACGGGAAAAGTAGCTTTCCAGGCTGCCCTGTAGGGAACATGAAATGTGTGTTAAATAACACACAACAAGGTGAATGCATCAAGTGTATAGTGGTCACTTGATTATTAGGTGTAGTTGGACTATTCTGTAAATGGCAGCCTCATCTTACAATGTAAATAACCATAGCAACACTTGATGAAAAGAGAAGACATTTTTCTTCTCTCTCATGACTTAAACTATCCCTTTTAAAAAATGCTTTTTTTATCAATGGAGACAAAAATGAAATTAACAACTATAAAATTTAACTTTGTCCTTTCTACAATTTTCATGCTACAAATAACGATACATCCTGAGCACCCAATAAAAATAATATGCTGAGCTTCCTATAAAAATATTACTCATTTATTCAACAAAGTCAGAAATGTAAGGCAGAAGGAACCTTATATAGTACATGATATACTTACCATCATTTTTCAGAGATGATGAAAATGTGTGACCACGTAGCCAGTTCACATAATGAGGAACTGGCCAAAGAGACTAGATTTTAGGTTTCCTTATTTCCAACACACAGCTGCTCTCCTTGACCACAGGAGCCTTCCACCTCATTAACCCCTTCCACCTGCTTCTCGGTGCTGAAAGCTCAGGTCATGTAAGTATCATTTTCTTCTACGAAGCCCACTTCAACTCCCCGAGGCAAACTGCCCCCTCCCGATACCCCCCAGCCCATGCCTTTTAACTCTCATAGAATCTGAACACTCAGATCACCACAAACTGCCCGTATGTGAACATCCGTGAATAAACAGATCATGAACTCTTCGAAAGGGCAACTTGGCTTCGCTCCCGTTTGTGTCCTAAGCAACAAGTAGTGCCCGACATATAGTAAGTGGTAAATAAATGTGTTTGCTGAATTGATAAATAACATTGCAAATGCAGAACAACAATCATATTTCAAGCATAATCATCATTTATTTAAATATCGATATGGATTTGAATGAAAACACTCATTTGACATGTAAGTTCTAAGAGAACTGTTTTTTAAATGAACTTATTACACAGCACAATCATTTAAACAAAGTTAAATGTGGTTCTAAAATTAATAGATTCTATATATTATTCAAATTTTACCATTTTATTATAATAAATCTAACTTTTACCTCTTAAGCTGCCCAAACACCAAATCATCAGCAATATAAAAGAAATAAAAATACCTGCTTTTTCTGAAGTCCTAAGAAATACCATGTCTGATGGAATTCTTTGATTCTGCAAAGAGTTATAATAAATATTAATGATCTATAATCAGGTTTATAAATTAACACTATTCCATTCCAAAGAAGAAACAGTAAGTAAAAACTAAAACTTATGCTGAAGCAGTTATCACTTATAATTTGTATAACAAAAATACTTAATTCATGTTTTAGATGGATCTCTAAGATCTTTCTCCCCATTAACAAAACATATAAATGGCATTTAGTGAAGACTTAAAAATGACTCCATTTCTGAAAAATGCTAACTTGTGTCACCTCTGCAGGTTCTTTTGCACTTTAACTCACATATTTAATACAATACTAAATGCCTTATAAAAAATTATGTCCTCCCTTAATGAAACTAGAAAAGGAAGAAGAAATGAGCCCAAAGTCAGTAGAAGGAGGGATATAATAAAGATTAAAGCACAAATAAATTAAATTGAGAAGAATAAAACAATAGAATCAATGAAAGCAGGAACTGGTTCTTCGAGAAAATAAACAAAATTGATAAACCCCTAGCCAGACTTACCAAGAAAAAAAAGAGAGTCTACACACATAAACAGAATCAGAAATGAGAAAGGAAAAATCACTGCAGACACCACAGAAATACAAAGAATTATGAGAGAATATTATGAAAAATTGTATGGTAACAAACTGGATAACCTAGAAGCAATGGACAACTTTCTAGAAAAACACAACCTTTCAAGGCTGACCCAGGGAAGAAACAGAAAATCTAAATAGACCAATTACCAGCAAGGAAATTGAATTAGTAATCAAAAAACTACCTAAGAACAAAACACCTGTACCAGATGGTTTCACTACTGAATTTTACCAAACATTTAGTGAAGACCTAATACCCACCCTCCTTAAAGTTTTCCAGAAAAAAGAAGAGGGAATACTCCCAAACTCATTCTATGAGGCCAACATCACCCTAATACCAAAACCAGGCAAAAACACCACAAAGAAAGAAAATTACAGACCAATATCTCTGATGAACATAGATGCAAAAATACTCAACAAATATTAGCAAACCAAATTAAAAAATACATCAAAAAGATCATCCATCATGATCAAGTGGGACTCATCCCAGGGATGCAAGGATGGGACAACATTCGAAAATCCACCAACATCATCCACCACATCAACAGAAAGGACAAAAACAAAATCACTTAATAAGTGCTGGATGAATGAGCAAACAAAATCCCACAAATTGGAGATACTCTTTCATAAAGCAAAAAAGGGGAAAAACTCAAAGGTATTCTATACCACATAACAATATAATAAGTTTTCCAATTCAGTATTCATATAAGTAACCATTATCACTAATAATTCAATCAATTGGGAAAGCTGAACCAAAACTAAAGGAAAAAAGTGTACTTATAATAATACTTCACAGTATTTCATAAATCATTTGTATTTTTTGTGACCTAAGCAAAGATTTACCCACACATGATAAAGAGATGGATTACTTGTCACCAGGCAGCAAAAAGGCGAAGGGAAGTCAGTGAAGCCGAACACAGCCCCAGCGTAGGACAGAGCTACTTCTCTGCGACATGAAGAAGGGAGGGCAAGTATTTCAGCCTATAGATCCCCTGGGTCAAGGGAAAAAAATCACACTGGAAATTAGAAAATGCTATGAGCTAAATGGTAATAAAAATTCAACATATCAAAATGTGTGTAACACAAAAGTCATGAAAAGTGTTGAGGAAAATATACACAAATGTACACAATAGAAAAATGAGGCTGAGAACACACAATTAAGTATCCATTTGAAAGAAGGAAAAAAGTCAATGAACCCCAATGAAAGTACAAGGATAAAAACAAACACAAGAGCAAAAATTAATGACATAGAAAACAAATACATATTAACAAACATCAAGAAAGTAAAAATTTTTTAAATATGCCCATTTCAGGTAAAAAATAAAAGCTAACTGAATCAAATTAATAAAAGATGGGTAATTAATAGAATTAAACACGGAAAATCAAACAAAATGAAGAGACAGAGGAATATGCTTGAAAGAAAAGAACATGACAACACTTCAGAAAAAGAACTAAATGGAACAGAGAGCAATCTGCTGGATAGAGTTCAAAGTCGTGGTCATGAAGATGCTCACGAGACTTGAGAGTGAGAACCTCCACGAAGAGATGCAACATATAAAACGCAACTAAGTAGAGATGAAGAACACAATAAATGAAATGAAAACTCCACTAGAGGGAATCAAGAGAAGATCAGAGGATGCAGAACAGGTCAGCAATTTGGAAGGCAGAGTAATGGAAAGCAGGCAAGCTAAAGAGCAGAAAGAAAAAAGAATGAAAAGAAATGAGTAGGTTAAGGGAGCTCTGGGACAACATCAAACATCCAGACATTTGTACTATAGGAGCACCAGAAGGAGGAAGGAGTACAAAACTTATTTGAAGAAATAACAGCTGAACACTTTCCTATCTTGGGGAAGGAAACACACACCCCGGTCGACTCTCACTACTTTTATTCAACATAGTACTGGAAGTCCCAGCCAGAGCAATCACACAAGAAAAAGAAATAAAAGGCATCCACATTGGTAAGGAAGAAGTAAAACCATCACTATTTGCAGATGACATGAGACTGTATCCAGAAGACCCTAAAAACTCCACCAAAAATCTATTCGAATTAATGAATGAATTCAGTAAAGTTGCAGGATACAAAATCAATGTACAGAATTGTTGCATTTCTACATACAAATAATGAGCTAGCAGAAAGAGAAATTAAGAAAACAAACCCATTTACAACTGCGACAAAAATAAAATACCTCGGAATAAACTGAACCAAGGAGATGAAACGCCTGTACTCTGAAAACTGTAAGACACTGATGAGAGGAACTGAAGACAAATAAATGGGAAGCTATGCCATGCTCATGAATAGGAAGAATTAATATTGTTAAAATGGCCATACTGCCCCAGACAATCTTCAGATTCAATGCAATCCCTATCAAAACACCAGCAGCATTTTTCACTGAATTAGAGAAAATAATCCTAAAATTTGTTTGGAACAGAAAAATGGTCACAGCAATCTTGATAGAGAAAAACAAAGATGAAAGCATCAACATCCCTGATTTCACACTATCCTACAAAGCTACAGTAATTAAAGCGAAAGGTTCCTGGCATGAGAACAGACACATAGACCAATGGAACAGAATGGAGAGCCCAGAAATAAACCCCATGTCTATATGCTCAATAAATACATGACAAAGGAGGCAAGAATATACAATGGGAAAAAGACAGTCTCTTCAATAAATGGTGTTGAGAACACTGGACAGCTGTGTGCTAAAGAATGGAAGTGGCACACTGTCTTACACCACACACAAAAATAAACTCAAAATGGATTAAGAACTTAAAAACAAAAAACTTAAAACTGTAACACCACTAGAAGAACACATAGGCAGTAAAGTCTTAAACATCGACACTAAAAATTTTTTTCTGGCTATGTCTGCCAAAGTAAGGGAAACAAAAACAAAAATAAACAAGTGGGACCACATCAAACTGAAAAACTTCTGCACAGAAAAGGACACCATCAACAAAACGAAAAGGCAGCCTACCGTATGGGAGAATACATTTGCAAACAATATTCTGATAAGGGACTAATATCCAAAATATATAAAGAAATCATACAACTGAATACCAAAAGAACAAGTAATCCAATTTAAAAATGGACAGAAGGAAGGGTAGGGGAAGGTAAGTGGGGAGGGGGAGAGAAGGGGATTAAGGGGCATCATGATTAGCACACATAATGTAGGCGGGTCACGGGGAAGGCAGTACAGCACAGAGAAGACAAGTAGTGACTCTACAGCATCCTACTATGCTCATGGACAGTGACTGCAATGGGGTGTCGGAGGAACTCGGTAATATGGATGAATGTAGTAACCACAATGTTGCTCATATGAATCCTTCATAAGATTGTATATCAATGATACCTTAATTTTAAAAAAATGGACAGAAAACCCAAATAGAAATTTTTCCAAAGACAGACAGATGGCCAAATGACACATGAAAACACGCTCAACATCACTAATCACCAGAGAAATGCAAATCAAAACTACAGTAAGATATCAACTCACACCAGTCAGAATGGCTAATATCAACAAGACAAGAATTAACATGCAAATATTAAGTGGGCAAGGATGTGGAGAAAAAGGAACCCTCATTCATGCTGGTGGGCTTACTAATTGGTACGGACACTATGTAAAGCAATTATGAGGTAGCTCAAAAAACTAAAAATAGTAATGCCATTCAACCCAGCAATTCCACTTCTGGGAATTTATCCAAAGAAAACAAAATCATTAATTCAAAAAGATATATGTACCCCTATGTTTACTGCAGCATTATTTACAATAGCCGAAATACGTAAGCAACTGAAGTGTTCCTCAAGAGACGAATGGATAAAGAGGTGTGGTACACATATGTATTGGAATATTATTCAGCCATAAAAAAGAAACACTGCCATTTGTGACAACTGTGGCTCAGTGAAATAAGTCAGAGAAAGATGAATACCACATGGCTTCACTTATATGTGGAATCTGAAAAATAAACACATAAACAAACAACAGAAATAGATTCACAAAGACAGAGCACGACAGTTGGGTTACCATGGGAGGGGGAAGACAGGTTAAATAGGTGAAGGGGATGAACAGGTAAAGGGGTTCCCACATCATACAATATGTCTGTAAGATTTAGCCACAGGAATGAAAGTACAGCACAGGGAACATACATAATATTACAATATCTTTGTATGATGACAGATGGCAACTACACTTATCCTGGTGAGCATTTAGTAATGTATATACTTCATGATACTAAGTTGTTCATCTGAAACCAATAACCAATGTAACACTGAATATAAACTATAGTTCAAAAAAAGAAAAAGACAAATTAGCAACAGTTTATCAAAATAAATAAATAAGACTTCACTAGAATTAGGAATTTCTGTTCAACGAACCACACAAAGAAGAAGGTATTTCCAACATGAAACTAATAAGGGACAAA